TTGTAAATTACCAGCAGGCCACACCCAACAGCAGAAACTCATTGGCATATGAGGCCACACCCCCATGCCTTCCCTTGACTTGCTGGGCGCCCCATTGCTGCCGGGAGCCTGGGGAAGCCCCCCCTTGAAGGGAAGGGAAGGCAGCCGCCGGGGAGTGTGTGTGTGTGCTGCTCTCCAGGCCTTCTCTCTGTAGCCACCGATGCAGAGGTTTTGGCTGTAGTGAGCGTGGCCATCTCTGAAGCCAGCTGGAACTCCGTTCCTGTGCGTTCCTGCCCAAGAATAGCCCTGATCATGATGTCATTTTGGGTATATGATCTGCCGCCCTTCCTCTCCGTCTGTGTGTGCATACAACTGAGCAGACATTATTGTCGATAGTGCTGGAGTCACCCTGACATCGATGGCCCAGGCCAGCCCAGTCTTGTCAGTTAAGCTAAGCAGGGGCAAGGCCATGGCAAACCAGCTCTGAACATCTTTTGCCTTGGAAACCCCATGGGGGTCGCCATAATGTGGCTGCGACTTGATAGCTCTTTCCACCCTCTGCCTTAACCTAGATGCGCCAGGCTAGCCTGATCGCATCAGATCTCAGAAGCTAAGCAGGGTCGGCCCTGGTGAGTACTTGGATGGGAGACCACCAAAAGAGTCCAAGGTTGCTGTGCAGAGGCAGGCCATGGCAGACCGCCACTGTTACCTCTGTTTGTCTCTTGCCTTGACCGGGATGGCCCAGGGTCGCCTGATCTCATGAGATCTCAGAAGCAAAGCAAGGTCGGCCCTGGTGAGTACTTGGATGGGAGACCATCAAGGAAGCCCAGGGTTGGTATGCTGAGGCAGGCCATGGCAAACCACCTTATCTATCTATTTTTTTTATCTTTGGATTCATATCCCGCCCGACCCCGAAGGCTCAGGGCGGCTAACAAGAGGCACAAAGTGCCAAGATTAGAACAATTAAAAACAACATCGCAATAAAACAATAAAATGCAATAACAAAATATCGGTGCTCCATTTATCACAAAATGGGGTAGATCGTAATCCCAAGGGTAGCATTCCCATAGTCTGTCATCCCTTCTCCTGCCAGGGTCACCTCGCACCCCGAAGGAACCAGATAGGGGTGGTGATGGTGCGATGGTGCATAGATAGCAATGATGGAGGAATGGTGGCGGCGGCTCCTACTCAAAAGCCTGGCGGAAGAGCTCCGTCTTGCAGGTTCTGCGGAACTGAGAAAGATCTGTTTGACCCCTTGGAAACCCGACAGGGTTGCCGTAAATCGGTTGCCGCTTGACAGCCCTTTAGCCACCCGTGTCCTGGAGCTTCGCTGGCTGCGAAAGGCAGTGTGTGGTTTTGGGAAGAGGAGGCGGGGAGCCGCTTGTGCTGCACAGATGACGCCCTTTCTGTCTCGTGCTCGCGTCCAGCTGGAGTGTGCTTGTAGCGCAGCCTAGGCGGGCGTTTGTTTCTGCAGAAGGTCGTGGAGCCTCTCACTGTGGGCTCTCTGCCCGGCAGGTCTTGGCACTTCCAACCCTTCCATGGAAAAATGAGTTTTTTAGAGGGGTCGCTTAGCAACCGCCTCCCCGCCCGTTCCACAGGCTTCCCCCCTCCTCTCTGGTTTTTTTCCATTTGCAGCTGGAGGGAGTGTTGCCCTGGCGTGCTTCAGCATTCAGTGAGATCCCAGCCTAGTTGTACCTTAGAGACCAAGGAGAGATTCAGGATTCTGAAACTGAGACGTTTCCCCTCTCTCTGGCATGCGGGGGCAATGCCAACGGATGGAGCAGCAAAGACAAAAGGAGGGGAAGATGGAATAAGAGGCTGACCCAGGGCTGCAGATTTTTTTGGGGGGGTAGAACCTGGGGAGGGCAAGATTTGGGGAGGGGAGAACTCAGCGGGGTATAATGCCATAGTGTCCACCCCCCAAAATTCAGAGGAACTGATTTCTGTAGTATGGAGATGAGTTGTAATTCAAGGGGCTCTCCAGGCCCCACCTGGGGGTTGGCAACCCTAGGCTGACCCTTCCTCCCCAGCAGAGGCTTGACATTTAACAGGCTCCGTATTCCCCAGTGATATGCAAAGCTGCACCTGTTGAGTATTTCCAGCTACTCACATGTAAACTGAGAAGGTACCAAGAACCTCTGTAAAGGACTGCCTTTGAGGATTGCAAAAAGGCAGCCCTGTATAGTCTGTCCGCTAGATTTTACCTATGGTATACCATAGAGTGTGGAAGGGAAGGTGGCCTGGTATAGCCCAGGGGTGGCCAAACTTGCTTAACATAAGATCCACACAGAATAAACGTCAAATGTTTGAGAGCCGCAAGACATGAACGAATATCACACACACACATTTTTATTGAGACATATGCAAATTTGCTTTTTATTAATAGAGACTGCCAAAAATAAAAACAAAAGGGGCAAAAACAGATATTTAGAATGATACTTATTTGTCTTAAGAGAGAGAAAGAGAGAGGTGGAAAGAAAGGATGAAAGAGGTGGAAAGAAAGAGAGAGAGAGAGATAAACAAAGAAAGCAAATAGATGGGGGAGGGAGGGGGAAGAAGAAGAAGAAGAGATTGGATTTATACCCCGCCCTTCGCTACCCAAAGGTGTCTCAGAGCGGCTTACAAACTCCTTTCCCTTCCCCCTCCCCACAACAGACACCCTGTGAGGTAGGTGGGGCTGAGAGAGCTCTTAACAGAAACTGCTCTTTTTCAAGAACAGCTCTTATCAGAACTATGGCTTGCCCAAGGTCATCCAGCAGCTGCGAGTGGAGGAGTGGGGAATCAAACCCGGTTCTCCCAGGGGGGGGAGAGAGAGAGAGAGAGAGAGAGAGAGAGAGAGAGAGAGAGAGAGAGAGAGAGAGAGAGAGCAAGCAAATAGATGGGGATCCTGCTGGGAGCCCCACAATATGTGTGAAAGAGCCGCATGTGGCTCCCGAGCCGCAGTTTGGCCACCCCTGGGCCTGATCTCAGCAGATCTTGGAAGCTGAGCAGAGCTGGTCCTTGGCAGGGAGACCTCCCGGGAAGACTCTGCAGAGGAAGACAATGGCATATCTCCTCTGCTTCTCCCTTGCCTTGAAAACCCCTTGCCGGGGTCACCATAAGTGTACACTAGGCTTGCCAAGGCCCCCCGGGGGGCGGGGAACCCCCCGCCCCAAAGGCCCATTCCCCGCCAGCGGTGGATCGGACCCCGGGCGGAACCCCACCCCCAAAGCACGCGATGTGCACGTCACCCGGAAGTGACGCGGGCACGCTGGGGGCGGGGCCACAGTCATCCGAAGGAAAACTCTATGGTCCCCCGCTCCAGCACCGCTTCTGACTTGGCAACTCTACTGTACACACACACTTCCCATAGAATCTGCCCTCTGAAGCTGCAGTTTCCTCCAGGGGAACTGATCTCTGTAGATCAGATAGAATTTCTCCCACCGGCATTCCACTCTGAGTTGCTGCAGGAGAAACACAAACACACACACACTCACATATTAGAAAAGCCAGTGTCACTTGCAGCCTAGCGTCACTTCCAGGGGAAACTTGAAAGCAGCATGACGTAGCTCTAGGAATCATGAGGAGCTCCATGGTTTTACTATAGAGTTTCCAGTTATTCCTAGAGTGACATGTCATGACTTCTGACTTCCCTGGTAGTGACCTCATGGTATGCACAGTGCTGTACCCCCATGTCCCTGCCCGTCAAGTTCCTCTTGGAATCTGGAGGACTCCGTCACGGGTTGTGCTTCCCCAGTCCAATTTGAGAAAGCACTCGGCAGTCTTGTAGAGGAGAATCAAGCTTAAAAACTTTATTAATAAAGGAGGGAAAATACAGGCACAACAAGGTTTTGAACCCTCGAGTACCCACAGCTCTTCCCTAAGGTTACAATGGAAGACATAGGGTTTTATACCCCCTATGACAGTTAGAAATAAATCATAATTATTGGTTCCATCAAACTTTGTCATATATTCGTCACACCATTCTGATTGGGCTCCAACCTGTGGGTTGGATTTTCACAGGCAAAGATGTACCTCCTTCAGTTGAACAATGGGCCTTCTTTTCCCAGGCTATGAAATTCTAAAAGTATCTAATGTAGCAGATATGGGTACATAGTGGTGTGTGTTCTTCATCTAACGTAGGCTACATGACATCAGGAATATGCACAGTTATGGTTGGCAAGAAGGTCACAAGCAGTATGACTGCCTGTCAGCATTTAGTATTTTACCCAGAATGCATTTAAGCAATGAACCAAAGTGAATATCTGAATATATGTTCATTATTGCAGTTACTGTGATTAGAGAATCATCAAAGGCACTTAACATATGCACCATGGAAGTGTTAAGTGCACCTACTAAGTTAGACTGACTGTTAGTGGCAGAGTACAAAGTGTTTCATAAGCGGTGCATACAACAGCCCTGAGGATGTGCCGATACCTTGAAAAGCCACAGAAAGTGCAGTTGCTCTTCCGTCTCCATTGACCTGTTTCCTTGTTTGTTACAATAACTTATGTCGCCATGCTTTTCTTGTAGGCTTCGTAATGGGCCTGGCTGTTATTGTGGAGAAACAGGGCTCTGGACTAGATGTTTAGTTTGGACTTTGGAGGAGAGGAGATTGAGGGGGGGACATGATTGCTCTCTTTAAATGTCTGGAAGGCCGTCATTTGGAGGAGGGCAAGGAGCTGTTCCAGTTGGCAGCAGAGGGCAGGACCTGAAGCAACAGGTTTAAATGACATGCGGAAAGGTATCGGCTGGATATTAGGAAACACTTTTTCACGGTCAGAGTGGTTCGAAGGTGGAATCAGCCGCCTAGGGAGGTGGTGAGCTCCCCTTCACTGACAGCTTTCGAGAAGAGGCTGGACGAATATTTGTCAGAGATGCTTTAGGCTGGTCCTGCATTGGGCGGGGGGATGGACTAGAGGGTCTGTATGGCCCCTTCCAACTCTGTGATTCTGTGATTCTATGATTCTATGAATGTTTGACCTGATCCAGCAAGGCTTTTCTTAAGAGTTCCAAGCAGGGTTCTGCACGCTGTGGTGGTTATGACGCCTGGCACACTGTCGGTGGTGAATGAGCACCAGAAGTGGGAGCTTAGAAGCCGCTGGAGATCCAAATCGATCTGCCCCTCTGTCTCTTTTTATTTCAGGAACTGGCCGTCACCGTTTAAGAGGAAAAACATAAAAACAGGTAAAAAACAAATTACGCCACATTTTCGGAGCGCGTTGCTGGCCCGAAGCTTGGGGCGGTCGTCACCGGGAACCACCTGAAATACGGGTTCTTTATCAGCCGTTTCAAACCCTGTCCTGATACGTATGGCTCTTTCTAGCCACTAATGCCATGATCCCAAGCACATTCACTGGAGAAATGTAATATTCCCGATCTCTGACCAGGGCTACAAGATCTGGAAGAGATTGTAGGATTGTATGTTCCTTTTATCAAACCCCTGCCCTCTCACACAGAAATTCTCCTTCCTTCCTTAACCAAGCCTAGTGTAGCCAAGGGAATGAGGTGTGAGCCAAAGGTTCCTGGTTCGAATGTCTGCTCCACCACAAACGTACTAGGTCATGGCTTTAGGTAAGCTGCACTCAGTCCTCCCCCTTCTACAATATGGGGATAGGCCAAGAGTAAGTCTATCGTGGCTACTAGCCGAGGCGAACCTCCACATTCAGAAGCACTAAGCCTCTGAATCCAAGCGGCTGGAGACAACATCAGGGGAAGGCCTCGGCCTCTCCGCCCTGATTGTTGGCCCTCCAGAGGAACTGGCTGGCTGCTGTGTGAGACAGGATGCTGGACTGGATGGACCACTGGTCTGACCCAGCAGAGAGCCAGTTTGGTGTAGTGGTTAAGACGCTAATCTGGGAGAACTGGGTTTGATTCTCCACTCCTCCACATGCAGCTGCTGAATGACCTTGGGCAAGCCATAGTTCTGTTCTGTCAGAGCTGTTCTCGAAAGAGCTCTCTCGGCCCCATCTACCTCACAGAGAAGGGTGACCACAAATGATCACAGGGTTGGGACGCCTGCCCTAGAGACAAGGCAAAAGCATTTAGGGCATCATGTATGCCACTCTGAGCCAGTTTGGTGTCGTGGTTAAGTGCACGGACTCTAATCTGGGAAGACCGGGTTTGAGTCCCCAGTCCTCCACTTGCAGCTGCTGGATGACCTTGGGCAAGCTATAGTTCTGTCGGAGCTGTTCTCTCAGGGACAGTTCTGTCAAGAGTTCTCTCAGCCCCGCCTACCTCACAGGGTGTCTGTTGTGAGGAGGGGAAGGGAAAGGAGTTTGTAAGCCGTTCTGAGACTCCGAGTGAAGGGCAGGGTATAAATTCAGTCTCCTCCTCCTCCTTTGCATTTATCATTAATCATGGTTACGGGCACAGTAAATGTGCTCTTTTATCATTCTTCGGATTATTGAGGGAAGGGTGGGGGCAAAGGGTTCCTACCGGACCCAGATCTCTTAACCACGGCTAGAGATGTCGGTCATTATTGGCCCTATCTTCCCATGCAGGTGAAGGAACATTTGAACTCAGAGTGTCTCCATAAAGCTGAAAACATTCTTCTTAAAACCGAGCTGGGAGGAGCCAAGGGAAGTAAACAGAACGACTACCTGGCTGCCCAACATGACCTCAGCTTTGCGAAACACATTCCTTGATAAACACAGAGGGAAAGTTGGTACAGAAGTAGACAGAATGTTCCTGTGTTTCTTGGGAGTGTTTGAAAAGAAAGCTCTGTCGTGATCTCCCTGCTCGGATGTTGCCATGGACACTGGCCCAAGGCAGGCCAATGCCTCTTGGAAAAGCTGCCCGGCCAAAGGGACAGACCTCTGCTTTCCTTTTTTCTTTTTCTTTTTTGAGCCCCCGGAGGGGATTTTCTTATTATTTTTTATCACTACAAAAAACTACAACAGAAAAAAAGGGAATGGGAAACTACATATACGGGAGAAAAGTAAAGACCCCACTACTAACTAAAACCCCAAGAGAGGAGATCCTCCAACTAGCTTAGATACATTGAGTCTTCTCGTCGTTGATCCCTTTATAAACTGAGTCAAACATTTATAGCACTTTTTCTTTAACGCTTAGATTTAACTGTCTAGTAACAGTACCCCCAATCATCCCGAAACAAAAGTCTCAAAGGCACAATTCAGAGTCCTTCAGCCTTACTTCTCCAGTTTGGTGTAGTGGTTAAGTGTGCAGACTCTAATCTGGGAGAACCGGGTTTGA